ACAGCCTGGGGTCCATGATGACCCGCATTAGTGAAGAGTCTGGCACTGCTACGCGTTACACAAACCATTGCGTCAGAAGCACCTGCATACAGCGGCTGGCGGAGGCAGGGTTGGAGGCCAGAGAAATCATGTCCGTTAGCGGACATAAAAACGAGTCATCGCTTCGCAGCTACTGGGCTCCATCTCTAGACAACAGAAAGATGTGGAGCAACGCGCTTTTTGCCGGTCCGGGACACGCCATGAAACGCCCACTGGAGGAAAGCTCTTCCTATAACGTAGTCCTACCTGTGAACACCACAGCACCACCTGCAAAAAAGTCTGGCATGGAGTTCATGGAGAGCTGTTTCAAGAATTGCATTTTTAAATGGCAGCATGAACATCTACCTTCATTCTGAACCCAAAATGTTTCAGCACCATGGACAGCCTGATTTGATTTGTTCCGCTAATCCCACACAGTGATTACTCAGATATTTAAATAGCCTAATAGCTTGGTTTCAGTCACGTGACTTCTATGATGCGCAAAATTCAAGTGGAGGTCAGGAAGTGAAAACGCAATCATTCATCAACGCAGGAATCATGGAGGACACCGACTATGTCAAACAATTAAATGAACCTGCACGCCGCAGATATCGTGAAAAAATCACAGCAGGGTCATTTTTTTTATGTGGTGCCTTTGGTGTCCCCAGTACAAAATATGTTGTTTTTTGTCTAAATCTGGACAAATACTAATTACATTTTGTTTTTAATGTGTGTTCGATTGTTAATTTATTATTAATACAATGATATGCACATCTAAGTTTTTTTTTTTCATTTTAAAAGCATTGGTTAAAGGGATATCGAGGAGTTTTTCCATGTCCCCACTGCTGGTCATTCAACTTAGATCTAAAATATAGCTATTAAAAACAAAATTAATTTATAAATATGTTATTATTATTTTATTTAACTTGTCAAAATCTATCTAATCAAATAATGTTTTTATTCAAATTGTAAAAAAAAATTAAAAAAAATATAAGGTTTAATGTTTGTCCCCGAGGGTCGCTGTCCACCCTGTTGAGCTGTGTATCTGTCCCTTTAAGAAAAATACATATTTCTCAGTGACATCACACCTATGAAATTGAATGACACCAGAGGCGGGAAATTCAACTGAGGTAAGCTGTGTGGGTTTCTACTGCTCTTACAACTGATTTGAATGTTTCTGTCAATTTTGTTTGATGTGTTTGAACATAACATGTCCAACCTGTTAGGCCTAAGTATGAAGGATATTAATCGAATTCTATTATTTAAAAAAGTTCCTTTAAAAAGTGATTGATTCCTCATAAAGTATCCAAGGTCATGCTAGCAAATATGCTAACACAGGCAGGGTAAAGGCTAACTTTTGCTCAAAATGTCCACCCTGTTAGTGTCCACCCTGTTAGGCTTATTCAACTAACAGGGTGGACAACATCCTAACAGGGTGAACATGTAAGTATTGTTTACTTATTACAACATTTGTTAATATTATATTATTTATTATTATATTATTATATTACTATTATAACATTATAATAATGTTTTTATAATATAATAAATGATCACCACCATTAGATCTATAGGCACAACACAAACTGCTGCAAAAAATCCTAGGGAAACACTGATGGGTATATTATCTAGTATATTATGTACACAAGGATTATAGGTATAGTACTTAAAGTAATGGCATGCATTTGTATAGGAATGGCACCCCCGATAAGTGCAGCTGAATCACAGCGGTACTACAGAGCACGCCGTGATGCTGACCCAGAGAGAAGACAGCAATACCTTGAAAAAGAGAGAGAGAAATGGAGGAGGGACAGAGAGAAAGGCATAAAGATGGGTATTAATGAGGTCTGTGAGAGGGAGAAAAGCCCATGAAAACCTCCAGTTCATGGCTGACACCCTCTACAGCCATGGGATTGTCGTCTCCAAGAATATTGAGGAGATGGTTGACCGCACTGTCTGTGCCACAGAAATTAAAGCTTGCGCCTATGGTGATTGTGTAGAGTGCCGCCTCACCACTCACCCAACCCTGAAATCAGCCACAGAGGAAATTGTACAAGTTGTACAATGGTCTACTGAAAGGACAGGTGAGGAAGAGAGGAAGACCATTACGCTTAAAAACGAGGTCCAGAGCACTGAATCAGACCTGGTCAGCAAATTTCAAGAGAATCTATTCAAATTCCGTAAGCACCTTTTTAACATCAGGTGGCAATACAGTGCTTACAGACAGCTACGGGAAAGCCTCCAAGCCAACGAGTGCCTAATCCACATCGATTTCAGTGAAAATTACTCTTGCAAATATCACAACGAGATCCAGTCTGTGCATTTTGGAGGGTCCCATCAACAGGCAACGCTGCACACTGGTGTACTGTACACCACTGAACAGACACCACTGTCATTCTGTTCAATCTCATCCTCACGACGACATGACCTACCAGCGATCTGGGCCCACCTGGAGCCTGTCCTGGAGATGGTGAAGACCAAGTGTCCAAAGGTGGAAAGGCTTCACTTCTACAGTGATGGCCCGGCAACCCAGTACAAGCAAAAGGGAAACTTTTACTTTCTCTCCACTGAGCCATTCAGGCTTGGTTTCAAAGAACTGACCTGGAATTTCTTTGAGGCCAGCCATGGCAAAGGAGCTCCAGATGGCATCGGAGGGACATTGAAGCGGTCAGCGGACCGAATTGTGCGCTTGGGGGAAGATGTTCCAGATGCCATCACTCTTTTCAAAAAACTCAAGAGACTGGAATCAACAGTGGAGCTCTTCTTTGTCAGTGAAGAGGAAGTTGAAGCAAAAACAGAGGTAAAGATGCCCCGCACCCCTGCAAAAACATTCACAGTAGTCAAGTATTTTGAGGCTCTCTATACGTTGATAGTTATTGTTATTGGCCAAATATTTTGAATATTATATCTCATACTACTGTATATCCTCTCTTTTCACCTCAGGTCCCTGCTCTGACACCTATTAAGGGCACAATGAGGATGCACCAGGTGATCAGCGTCTTACCTGGGCATATCAAGTACAGGGACATCAGTTGTTTCTGTCAGAGGCAGGATGGTCCACTGGATTGTGCCTGCTTCGACCTGAAAGTAGCTACTGTGAATGGAGTTCCTGTGACCCCCCCAAAACAGAATGAAGAGACCCCATGGCGACCAGCGGCAGTTGACAGCACACACATTGGAGGGTGGTGCGTCATTAAGTATGACGATGATGTGTACCCTGGTATCATCATGGACGTGGAGGGCGATAGCATTCAAGTGAAGTGCATGCATAGAAATGGAGTAAACAAATACTTCTGGCCAAGACCACGTGAAGATGTCAGCTGGTATGCAGAGGAACAACTTCTCTGTCTTATACCAGAGCCAAAGGCACTCAACAAGCGCTCAGTCCAACTTGAAAAGCTTACATGGAAGTACCTAGAAAATAACTTTATGTAAACTAAAAATGTACTCGAAGTTATGCACGATGATCAGAGCTCTTGGTTAAGGTGTTCAGGCTACCAAACCCAGTGGTGTTCCACAAGCCACTGGTGGTGGCAAAAAATGAGCATGATTATAGTTGGCCTCAGCAAAGTGCCTCATAAAGCCTTTGCCTACCTGTTTGAGCCCTCCAAGTTTTGGTGTTGGCCTTTCTTTTTCTGTGATTTTTTTTATTGGATATTCTGCTGAATAAATGAATTATGAAGCAAATTACTGTCTTCTTCATTAGCTGCCATTTTCCTCAGTCTCCAACGTAGGGCAATAGCCTACGTGCCCCACAGCTGGAAAATATTATGACATCACACAGACTTGCTCACAGGTCCTAGGGGCGTACCAAAGACCCCAAATCAAATTCTGATATATTGTTTTAATTCTGTTAATATTTGTTGCTACTCTAAAGTACACATTCTATAAGAAAACCCTGCAACCACAGACACAGCAGACCTTTGGGACGGAGATAGCCTTATGAAGAAGCAAAGGCAGATACACAAAGTTGCAGCTCCAGTTCCAAATAGTGGGTATATCAAACCAAAACGATTTGATATATTAAAACAATTTTAATAATTTAATATAAAAGATTGTTTTAACAATAGAATTAATATTTTAACCAAAAATTACACTTTAAAATGATAGGGCCTGGAGAGAAGGTCCTGAAGGCCCTGACGGACTTCCACTGGTGTCCACCCTGTTAGACGTATGTTATATTGGTATTTTTCTAGCATAGTTTAATGAAAATATCAAATATCAAGTGTATATTTGTACTTTTATAAAGAAATGAGAGAGGTTGATTATATATTCTAGAAACTTTTAGTAATTCTTATTGTATTTAAGTTTTCTCATGAAAAACAGTGGAAAAATATGCCACGTTGTCATAATCTACACTTGTTTTTCTCAATATATACTACTTAAAACTAATTAGGTATGAAATATATATCTAATTAGAGTTAGGGACATACAACTCTTGTTAAAAAGTCACTTTAATTGTAAGAATGCACTGAAAACTCATTTAAGCAGTTATGTGTATGTCCTTAACAGGGTGGACATATCCCGGGTGTCACGTGTTGTTAATATATCTATATATATAAAGATTTAGGTGCCTGAGCTTGACCAAAATGTTTTTTAGCAAATTAGATATGTCCTTTATAGAATAGAACATTAAAAAGTAGGTAAATCAACTATTTATTTCACCCAACTTGTGAAGTCCAAATGGCACCCTATAAAAAAAATGACCCAGCACACATCGGATACGATCCGTATCAGCTGAAAAAAAACGACTTTTCTCGTGATTTATCCGATTTGCCCGCTGTTGAGGCGATGGATATCACCAGCTACCTCGTCCTTCATACCTCCTACTACACGGCTAGCCAGATGACAGCGTATAAAATCCTGGAAGCTTTCAACTACTTCGTGTGTGGATGGGTGAATGACCTCGGCACCAAAGAGGCATTACACAAATGTCGCCTTGTTTTTGCCCGGGTGGGTGTTAACTGCCTATACCTTCTTACCTCTAAGTAGCATTATTAGGAGACATCTAGCTAGCTAACTTTAGCTACATGGACTCATGTAAGGCAGTGTTACGGCTGTCGCCTTGCCTTCAGCATTAACTGGCCTGTGAGTGTGTTGTGTGTGTATATATGTGTATGTTTGTTATGTGTATGTGTTTAGCTTAGGATATATTGTGTTTTGTGTGTATATATGTGTATGTTTGTTATGTGTTTAGCTTAGGATATATTGTGTTTTGTGTGTATAGACAGCTCAGAGCCTTTGAACAGCCTGCACGTTGTTTATATCACTCTATGTTGAGGTTAATATTAAAAACAACCTCTTTACCAAGACCATCTGGTTATGTGTTGCTTGTGATGTTGTTAAATGTATGTTACCAACTCGCAAGTTGTGAACTGGAGCTTCAATTGTGTAGGTCAACCATTCCCAGAGGTCTGGAGAAACACCATTAAAAACGTGGATTGTAGCTAAAGAAGATGGAGAGGTTGTTACAGCACACTGTAACTGTATGGCTGGGTAAGTCATAAAATAAATATCCCAACCCAAAGCATATTTGACACAACACTTAAGCTCAGACAAAATAATGCCTGCTATAATATTCATGTTATACCATTACTAGCTTTTACGATCAATCTAGTTATTCTAGTATGTCTCTGTCTATACAGTTTGTCAGAATGCTGCTCACATGTTGGAGCAGTTCTGTTTGCAATCGAAGCAGGTGTGAAGATGAGAGAGACTGCATCCTGCACCACTGAGAAGTGCAAGTGGCTAATGCCATCACATGTCAAAAAGGTATTCAGACCCCAGTGGTCAGTCAGCTGTTCAAGCCGTCCTTGCCTGTCTCATTGTTACACTGCACCTACATGTATGTTCACATACATGTTGGTCTGTCTCTCACATGTGCAGATTCCTGCTGCTCCAGTTGCGATGATAGACTTTTCATCCGCAAAATCCAAAAAGCAAAAACTGGATGATGCCATTGCTGGAAGGACAGGTGAGAAGCACACATTTCAGCGTCCCACAGTCCAGGGTTCAAAGTTGGAGCGAGGATCAGAGAGGTATATGCAGTTTTTCAAGACTTTGAGCAGAAATTCCCCAAGAAGTGCTGCACTGATGTCCAGGGCTTTGGCTGAACCCTCAATGGCCATACATGGGAGCGTCGCCAGACGGAGGTGTCACGTGCACCTGCCATGGAACTGGTATCTGTGAGATAAAGGTAAGTTATTTGTTCAGTATTGTGCTACAGTAAAGCGGGTAAGTATAGGATTGTGACGTGATCCTGAGTCTGGGGATCCTCTCCCAATACATTTTGAGCTGCAGACAATTATTTACAGTACAATATATTACTTTTCTTTTCATTGAACTTTTAGTGCCCACACAGAAAACAAGAGGAGGCCAATCTTCGCCTGTGTGCTGGAGAACAGGGCTTCTGTCTCGTCAACGATGGGGGCACTGTGAAGCTGGACAGGAGACATGCCTACTACCATCAAGTACAGGCTCAGCTCCACCTCGTTGATGTTGACTACTGCGACTTTGTTGTCTGGACTAAAAATGACCTCTTTGTAGAGAGAATTGTGCGTGATGTGGACCTGTGGGACAACATCATTCCCAGAGTTGAGAGTTTCTTCAGACTATGTGTTCTCCCTGAAGTGTTGGGACAGCAACTTACAAGGGGAAAGGTAAAAGTCATAAAGAGTTGGTGTGCTCATTTTTTTCCACAAGAACATGTTAGTGCATAACTATCAGGTGACTAAAAGCCTCCTCTCCCTGTCTGCTGTTCCATTTTTCAGTTTCAGTTGCAAGATGATCAGGAGGGAGAGAAGGCGGGATTACCAGCACCTGTGGTCTGTCCTGGTCCCGGAAGTTGTGGTTCTCTCCTTGTTGCATTATTATTACGTGCCGTAGTGGGTGCTGGTGTTTGGGTGTGTGTGGGTGTCTTTTTCTCTCTCCCTCTGATCTCCCCAGGTGCTCCCAATCTCCAATCAGCGCCTCCATATAGGACATGAGGAAGGTTGCAGTCGCTCTCCCCTTATCTTAAGCTTTGTTTGACAAGTTGGCTGGTGAGCCCTTTTTCGTTGTGTTAATTAAAAGACCACTTTATGGCGTCAGAGATCAGTTTCCTCTCCGCCGGTTATGTTGTGTGTCGCTACTTCCCTTTGTACCCCTATATTTACAAGGGAATGTAACATTTGCACAGTGGCAGCTCTTTAACCTACATTACAGCACCTTCATATTCACTGACCACACTCACTAGAGGAAGTAGGGCTGTGTGATATATTGCTATTGTAAAAAAGATGTTTACTGAAAAGAATAAATGATACTAAGACTGAATAATACATGGTTTCTTATTTACATTTACAATAACCCTCAATGGCCATACATGGGAGCGTCACCAGACCAATTGTCATCTCTAGAATATTGTTGAATGAATTAAGCCTGAATGTAGATGCAAGTTGTATATTGAGTAGGGCTACACAATTTTCAACACAAAAAGATGTTTACTGAAAAGACTTGAACACAAGATGTTTGAACACAAAAAGATGTTTACTGAAAAGATGAAATGATACTGAATAATACATGGTTCCTTATTTACAAGACTACAGCTCCATGACTTTACTCCAATGGGACGACAGACACTGACAGATTAGACAAGGCACAGCAAATAACCCCAATCTTGTCAATTAATGCTAGTGCCTCACCTGGTTTTGTTAGCATGTGCTCTATGGGCACAGCCCTGCTTTGCAGAATCTGATATTTTCTTCTGACTAATCCTATGACTCTTTCAACATGAATACGCACATTAGCTATTTTTCTCGTCTCTTCCACCTCGTATGCTGACAGCTGACTTTTCCCCCTGGTGAATGCAGGCATCATTCGTCTGAGTCTGAATCCCATTGGCATTGTAGCTTGAAGTACATGTCGCTCTGGCCACTCAATTATAAATTCTGTACTCTCGTGAAGTATGTCAATTAACTTATGCCAAATTCTAGAAGCAGTGGAGAGAGAGATGTTGAACCTGAAAGCCAAATCTTTCAGAGGGAGATTTAGTCTCAGCCTCAGCAAAACTAAAATGAACTGTTCAAATGGAGACATAGGGCCACAGGTGATGTAGGGCTCGCACAGTTGAAAAACCTGAAGTAAAACTAAGAAGTTGGGGAGCCCGGTGTAAAACTTTGTTTTCTCTTCGTTGTTCTCAAAGGACTCCTGGTTGAACTTTGTGTCCAGTGCCTTTGTCCGAAGATCTCCCAGCTCTGTTGTGTTCTGTCTCAGAACATCCTCCATCCTCTCGATGTCCTCCATCGTTAAATCAGTCTGGCATCCTGCATCTGCATACAATATAGCAGTAGCAAGCATAATTAGTTATTTAAAATAGTCAAATATGAATGTGAATTTTTGTGAAGTTATCTTTTTGACAACCTTTTTACAGACATGCAGTTCATTCATTCAAATTAGTGCTCTATTTTCTAAACCTAATTCAAAGTTTGCATTGATTTTCTGACAATCACATTTGTAATATTTAATAATAATGCTGGTGGTTAATTGACCTTGTTGGTCATTTAATATCCCACTGGTGTCCTCTGGTTGTGGGCTGTCAGACGGGGGCTGCGTGGGTTCTGGGCTCTTGGTTGTCTGCAGGAGATCCAACAAAGCCTCTGCACATTCTGATTGTCTTTGTTGGTCTTCCTTGAGCTCCTATCCTCTGCTCTCGTCGAAGAGATGCCTCTGATCTGGGCTTACTTGTTGTGTGGTAACCGAGGCTAACAGTGGGAGCCCAGTCTACCGACTCAACGTCACCCAAAGCGCTAGGGCACCCTAAAAAGTCCCAACAAAGTCCATATTAGACTACAGGTAACTTAAACATGATCAGTATTACTAAGTAAATACGCATTTAACCACAACCCAATAATACCTAAACAAAGCCACAAAAACCAAGTTAGCTAATACCTCTGATGAAGTGGTCGCTGCAGACCCGTGCATTAGACGACTCTGCTCCTCCCGACCGCAGATGTAGGTTTGAAAGCCATTTTTTCCGGCCTTCTTCGGTTAGCTTCTTAAATTGCTCAGCTTTATGGACGACAACCTTCGGAACTCGGTAAAACCTCTTGTTTTTCTCTCGGCCGGATCGATTGGAACAACCGTAAACTACACAACACACCGGCATTTTCACAATGGTAACAGCAGCTAGATCCTCTGTAGAAAATTACTTCCTGACCTCCAATGGAATTTCGCGCCAAAGGAACGCAACGGTGTGACGTCACGTGAAACCAAGCTATATATGCCATTTTCGCGGGCTTCAGCTGCGCCTGGGTAATTGTGACCTGAGCGAAGGCTCGCAGGCAGGTTAGCTGCTGCGCACGGGTAATATGTTTTGTTCACCTGATTGAAGTCTTACAGGCACATTGCCTTGTTTTTTGTTTATTAACATTGACAGTGTATTTTTGTGATCTCCATAATATGTTATATTTGGTAAAGATAGATATATTGATAGAAAGTATTATTTGATAGCGTTATGTGTTTATATTGACTATGTTGAATTTCTCCTTGAGATACAGTAATTGACTGTGACAGACGGATAACTCAAATGGAGAAATGTGATGTTTGTAAAGTACAGCTATTTGAATGTAACTGTGTACTTTGAATTTTGAATAAAAAGCAATCCAGACGATCAACCGGATCCTGTATAGAATTATTGCTGCTGCACTTTTCTGTTTTCTCCAGAAATCATTTATTGTTGCTGTGGTACCCAAGCTTTTGGGATCCGTAACAAATGTGTTTGTGCAGCTGAGTGTCAAGAACTGTGCTTCAAATAGTGATAGGTTTAATTGTAGTGCTCCACCTGTATACATGTATGTTTGTTTGTTTGTTAATTTGAGTAAAGTTCCATTGTGATTGACATAATTGTTGTTTTCTATGGTTGCCAATTGACCCACAGTCAATGGTTCATGAACAGTTCATAGCCAGCCATTGAATTATATTCAGTGACTGGGTATGAACTGTTCATGAAGTTGTTATGAACAATTCTTGAAATGTTCTTGGTTGAATACTGAATATCCCTACACACTCACTGAAAACTCCATTTCATGAATTGTTCATGAACCTGCCTAAAACCATATTCCATGAATTGTTCATGAACCATTCCAGCACAGGAGTTTCATGAGTAGTTCATGAACTGCCCTAGTGCCATTTAATGTTCATGCAAATTTCATGAACAGTTCATCAACTTTGTTATGAGCTGTTTATGAGCTGTTCATGAATATGGTTCACTGATATTCCATGAACCTTTCATGACAAGTTCATGAACAGTTCACTATCATCTCACTGGGGTTTGCAGTCGTTCTTGATATGGTAGGTCCTTTAGTTCTGGAACCAGCTTCGTTGCCCTTCTCTGTATTTTCTCGATGAGCTCAGCATCCTTTTTGTACATGGGGCACCAAGCGACATTCCCATACTCGAGGAGTGGCCGTACAAGAGAGATGTATAAACTACGTACTACGCATGGTGTGTACTGTATCGCAATGATGCGAATGATGCTCGAAATGTCCCATATAGTCCTACGTCTGTTTCCAGTGACTTCATTTTGAAAATCAGTTCCTGACGGACGGCCCAATATTATAGAATTAAACGAATAAATTAAAACAAGGATAATTGTGTGTTATTGTTGAGTAAATAACAGTGTGTTATTTAGAAAAAGATAACAAATTCGAAGTAAAAAAAGATTTAAAAAAATACAGATTTCAGTATTCTGAGGCTCTGAGCACCATTTATTTTCCTCACGGACGGCAAAAAAAGTCCGACATTGTACGATTTAAAATAAAAACAATAATCGTGGCTTGATAGTGAGTAATAACATGTTTTTATGAACCACACAGCTTCCGGTCTTCAGTATTCATTTGCGTCTCATATGCACGCAAAACTCGGACTCAGAACTCAATGGGAATAGTTGGCATATGATAGGCACGCAAAATCGGACTTTAGCGTATCTATTGCACGCATTTCCAATGTGTAAAGTCGTGTCATTTGTACGCAGACTGAAGAGAGTGGGTTGACTCTCTGTCCTAAACGGCTTGTTGGAGCTCCTGCCCCCCCCCTCCCTGTGAGCCCAGTGTGCTCTGATTGGTCGGGACGTTGAGAGGCTCGTTGCTGCGATCTGCTGCGAGGAGCGGAAGCCTGTCCGCTCCTCGCAACAGTTCGCAGCAACGAGCCTCTCGGCGATACAGCGAGAACAAGCGAAATTCATCCTGAGTACACAAACACTCACAGCCGAAGTAAAAACAATAAGTGTGGCTTGATATTGAGTAAGAAAAAGGTTTATAACGCTGTGCGCATGGGTCTGCGGAGAGCATTTCTCCGCCACCCCAACGTAGAAGTCCGAATAACGTTTACCCATTTAAACAGTTGTGGTAGATACCTTGTTTGTTTTAAACATCATAAATACAAACAACAATTAATACTTACAGGTTGTGTACCCGAATCTCCCGCTGGTCCAAACAAAGTAGGAACAGCATCGTTCTTCAGTGCCCTACGCTGTGCATATCCGGCATGAATCGCTGAAAGGTTTGAGAAGCTTTGTTTCGTGAAAGGCTGGCAGAGGGTATTCACACGTCACAGTACCCAGGAAGAAAACATTGGAAAATGAGAAATCTCCAACGAGGCGTTTTGGGGAGGTATTTTATGTGTTAGAGTTTTACTCCCGACAGGGTGTACTTTGAGGGTTTTTGACTCTGCAGACCGTTTACATGCATAAAAACCTTCATAACACACAAAAGCATGACATGGGCCCTTTAATAACACACAGTGGACCAACAGCACCCCAAACCATCACCGACTGTGGAGACTTCACACTGGACTTCGATGAACTTGGATTCTGTGCCTCTCCACTCTCCCTCCAGACTATGGGACCTTGATTTCCAAATGAAATGCAAAACATACTTTCCCCTGAAAAGAGAACTTTGGAAATAGATGGTCTGTCAATCACATCTGCTCACAACCAATACTTACAGAAACATGAAACCAAAAACACAGAAGTCAAAAAAACAACTGACCTGGGGCCTCATTTATAACGCCTTGCATAGGATTCACGTGGGAAGGTTGCTTACGTAGTAAAAAGAAAAAAAATAGGTACAGAAATGTTCCGATTCACCAAACATTGCGTACCGGCGAGGGATGTGCGTACGGCACTTCCTACGCCTGTTTCCCTTTATAAATCTCAATCGACTCGAAATGCGGCGCAGCTTTTGCGGGCTTCCCGTCACACCCATATTTGCCCATATATACAGACCCGGCGGCAGACATACGTCTCTGGGCGGGCATTTGATTTACCAGGACGGGCCCACCACGACACTTACAATCTGAATTGTCAACGGGGGGGGGGGCTGTTAGACGCTCGAGATTTGTCAACGGGGGGCAAGGGAGGCGCTCGTGAATTGTTGTTACGGAAACAGAGGGGTTTTAGGTTGCCATAAGGCTGTTGACGGTCTTATTATAGGCTACATCCATTGGTTGGTTTTGTGGCACATTTGTAACGCTGGCAAACTTGAGCGCACACAGGGTGGAGAGGTGGAGTAAGGTTGAGCAATAGAGAGAGAGAGAGAGAGAGAGAGAGAGAGAGAGAGAGAGAGAGAGAGAGAGAGAGAGAGAGAGAGAGAGAGATAGAGAGAGAGAGAGAGAGTAGATAGAGAGAGAGAGAGAGAGAGAGAGAGAGAGAGAGAGAGGATGTGCAGCGGTCTGCTTGCGCACAGAGCAGGAGTTTGTGAGAGAGCCGGCTTGAGAGTCAATTTCTCTTCAGAATATAATTGATTGCCAGCCTCCCTTGTCCCTGGCTGGCTTGCTAGCTCGTTGATAACGTAACTGATGTCTTCTAATGTGCCTGCATCTGGCGCTGAGTTGCCATATTCCTTTCAAGTGTATAAGTGTGAACCACTTCCTGATATCCATTGTTGCAGATAAATATAAATGATAATAGCCAAACTACCCTAGCAAGAGTAAACTGACAGGCTGCCGTGCCGCATCTCACTCAAAAACCCACACGACTCAACCCAGCGAAAAACCAGTCTCGCGCGCAGCCTTTCATTCAGAATTTCATTCGGAATTTCATAGCAAAAGAAAAAAATGATATTAAACTAATCTTTCAACATAGTTTAAAATTAGGGCCGGGACTCGATTAAAAAAATTAATCTAATTAATTAGAGGCTTTGTAATTAATTAATCGAAATTAATCGCATTTTTAATCGCATATAAATATTTGACCTGAGAACAGTGAGAAGCAATTTTTTTCACATGGATTTTAGTATACCATGAGGCGCATTCACACCGCAGTACTTTTCCCACAAAGGTTCATGAGAACTTAGTTCATGAGAACAAATGAAGCCGCTGACGTCACTTCTTCTTCTTCTGCTTTGGGTTTACTGGCAGGCCGCAAACCACTTCACGGCGTATACTGCCGCCCGAAGTCCCCGGCCGGAAGTCCCCGGAGTTGGGGACTGGCTTCAGTAGAAGCTGCTGGGAGTCCCAGCAGCTTCTACTGAAGCCTTCCGAGTAAATCGCCAGAACGCCGACACCTCCTCATCTCCACCGCTCCCATGTTTTATTTTGTGTTGCCATAAGTTAGTCTCTCTGCGTTTCTGCGCTGGGCTAATGCTAATGCTAATGCGAGGATAATAAAATGGCGGCTTCACCAAACTTTTTGGGAGTTTTACGGGGCGTGGTTTGCAATCCGCCCAGCCAATCAGAAATATAGCTCTTTTCTCACAAGAGAGCCGTACGAAAGTCCCTGCTCTCTAGCAGCGCTCTGCTCTCTAGCAGGGACTTTCGTGGGGGGTAAAAAGGTTCTCATGAACTAATTTTAGTACCGGCTCTTTTTGGTGTGAACCATAGACTGTATGGTGTGAACGCGATAAAAGAGGCTAACGTCCACGCTAGCTGCTATATGTTTTGCATTGAGGTGATACTTGAGGCTTGATGTGCTGCGGTGATATGCGAATTCCTTTTTGCATAATTTGCACACAACCGTGCTCTTATCAACGCTTCCATCCGTCCGTTTTTTAAAACAACATTTCCCACTGTTGTTCACTGTGGTTTGTTGTTGTCTGAAGTCATGAACGTTAGTTGGTGCTCCAGTATAATCGGTACGCCTGAAACTCATCCAGTGAGAAACGTTCCGCGGTGCAAAAATAAGTGCGATTAAAATGCGTTAATTTTTTTAACGCGTTAATTTTTGTGTAATTAATTAATCTTAATTAACGCGTTAAAGTCCCGGCCCTATTTAAAATAAATATTAGGACAAAGCCCTACAAATAACAACAATAAACATAATCAGTTGCGGCTCCAGAGTATTTTTGTTGGGTAATCTATGGTAGGGCTAACCCATACAGTGGTGGGGCTCAAGTCAGTATTTGTAATGTAATTACATACACTCTCCCCTTGATAGTGAAACGCCACGTATGAGGTTTAGATTATTTCCCAGTCTCA